GAGCGTGATTAGGAGAGGAAAGGCTCGAGAGAGGGAGAGGCGTGACCAGAGCTGACACGGATGACCAGATGAGGTTGTAGATATCCTCATTTGTGGTGAACTGGTGGCATGGTAGGACTAGCGGTAGGCCGAAGAGGGCGGTGTATTGGTGTTGGAAGGTGAAGACGAAATTATCCGTCGTGATCTGAACGTTTTGGATTCATGATGGATGGATGGATGGATGGATGGATGGATGGATGGATGGATGGATGGATGGATGGATGGATGGATGGATGGATGGATGGACTGATTGATGGATGGCAGAATGGATGAGTGAATGGGTGAATGAATAAATGAATGAATGAATGAATGAATGAATGAATGAATGAATGAATGAATGAATGAATGAGTGAATGAATGAGTGAATGAATGAATGAATGAATTAATTAATTAATTAAAAAACTGAAAAAGTGTAAAACTTGCAGAAAGCAAAACTGACCATTTTTCTATGGAATGCCATTATAAAACTCGGGTTTGAATGATAGCTAAAATCGACGAGCAAAGAATCATTACCATAACCATCGTCCGTATAATTGGTATCATTATCAGCACTACTACCACCGCCGTTCCTAGTATCATTATCATCATTAACACCGCTCCCACCATCATTATCATCATCATTATCATCATCATTATTTCCATTACGTTGTAACGAATCTACATTGTTACAATTGGTGTTACAATCATCATCATCATCATTATTACTATTATTATTATTGTTATTATTATTAATATTGCAATTATAACTCCTATGAGTAATATTAGTAGTAGTAGTATCCGAAATGCTGTTATAAGTGGCGCAAGTGGCTGAAGAAGCCGTCGCTGCTGATAATGATGATAATGACGACGACGACGACGAAGTCGTTGTGTGATTGTTTCGTTGAGTTCTAACGAGACCTGAGTTGTTGTTGAGGTAATGATGATGATGTTGTTGTTGATGTTGTTGTTGTTGATGTTGTTGTTGATGCTGATGATGATGCTGACTCTTTTGTTGCTGCTGTTGCTGCTGCTGCGGCTGATGACGTTTCCTCAAGAAATTAGTGGCCTCGATGAATCTTTCGACGGCTACATTGGTTGGAAAGGTGGCGGGCATTTCGTACGCTACCAACTGACCGCTAACGCTGTGACGCACTTTGTCATGGTCGCGAGGAAATGACTGTGGTGGTTGTGTGGTGTGGTGTGGTAGTGGTGCGGTGTGGTAGTGCGGTGTGGTAGTGGAAAATAAGAAAACATTTTCGCTAGAAATGGTGAAAAATTTTGAGAAAAAATTATGAAAATTTTCCGTAGCAGTGTTGAAGGAGTTCTGTCATACAATACAACTGAAAATACAAAACTAGAACCGAATAATTTACAACTCTTTAAAAATAAAAAAATATTACTCAGGGAAACGGTATACCGAAACGAACAAAAAATACCCAAACGAAACGAACTCTAATCATGGATTTGATGCAATCAGCAATAACGATTCTGTTAACGTTAATGTTGGATAGGGTTGAGAGCTGCTGCTTCAGCGTTTTGTGGATGTCGTCGGCGTTCAGTCGCAGGCCGTACTTGGTGTGGCTGATTGATTGGTCTTGTCTGATCACTGATTGGTTGAGTGATTAGTTGAGTGATTGGTTGAGTGAGTGAGTGAGTGAGTGAGTGAGTGAGTGAGTGAGTGAGTGAGTGAGTGAGTGAGTGAGTGAGTGAGTGAGTGAGTGAGTGAGTGAGTGAGTGAATGGATGAATAGATGAATATATTGATTGAAAAATGAATGAATGAATAAATGAATAGATGAATGAATTAATATAATGATTAATCCAATTTAAATAATACACAAACCAATCAAATAACAAACCAACCAATCAACTAATAAACCAACAAACCAACCAATCAATCAATATACCGACCAATCAACAACAAACCAACCAGCCAATCACATCAAACTAACCTAAAACGTCAACATAGATAAAAGATTCAGCGGGTAGAGGCAAAGACAGAAAAGTGAAAGGGTCGAATTTGACACTGAGGTGAGAACAATGTGCGCATTTCACCTGTGATTTCAACTGTCCATGGAATAAGTCAACTATGATGGATTTGTTCCTCAACGAATGGTTCTCCCAAGCCTTTTACGATGGATGGATGAATGAATGGATGAATGAATGAGTGAATGAATGGATGAATGAATGAATGAACGAATGGATGGATGGATAAATGAATGAATGAGTGAATGGATGGATGGATGGAGGGATGAATGAATGAATGAATGAATGAATGAATGAATGAATGAATGAATGAATGAATGAATGAATGAATGAATGAGTGAATTAATGAACAAACAAAAGAATAAATTAAAATTCAGGACAGAACCTCACGAGCGACGACACCATCAGGTCTACCATCACTATCTTTCAGCTCTACGTACGTTTTGTCCTGTACTCTTTCAATACGGATATAATAATAATGTGTGTGTGTGTGTGTG